GGGAATTTATGGACTGCGGGGCCACTTGGATTTATTATTCTCTGTTCCAGCAAGCTACCTTTTTAAAAGAGTCCATTTTGGAGATCCGCGTAAAGCATTTGATGGTTTTACAGTAAGGAAGGAATGTTTTGTAAGAGTAACTAAGGAAAAAAGATCATATATCAATTTACAGGTTTATATCTAGGATTCCAAAGACTTGATCACCAGGTCATTCAAATGGGTTTCTTGTTGAACTCCTTTTGTCAAAATAGTTTTACAAATCAGGAAAACAATATGTGGTTTACTTAGTTCTGTGTGGAAAGTCGGAATATCCCATTTCGTTTGTTCTTCTACAAGCCAGAATCTGAAATGTCTGGGCTTTGAGCTTTTGCTTGAGGAAAACAAGAATCTACTTTTGTCCATAAAACTAAACAAGAAACAGACTAGAGTCTTCTGTAAGTACTTTGATGACTAATTCTTATTAAGATTGGAATTGGCATCAATGGCCAAGTTTGGTTCAAGTGGCTTGATTTGTACCTCAACCAATTGAGGTTTTCATCAGAAGCCATAGTATGGTTTGTTTTGAAGAGGGCTGCAGGCAACATCCATATAACAATGAGTTTTGTATGGCAGATTAAGTGATTGTGTAAGGACTTGCCCCAGCTAGTCCCTCAAGAAGGCAAGATTCTTGAATCCTCTGAATTGAATCAAAAGAACTTTAACTGAGGAAAAAGTGGTTGCAACAAAGTCAGGTGGAACCTGAAGGTCCGGCACAAAGCATAAAGCAATTCCTTTGGTTTCCCAATCCTAACCCGTCTGATGAGTCAGCCAATGTGATCCCGAGAAAATGTTTTGAGAACTCTGAGGTGCTAAGCAGATAAGAGGTCACCCTCTCAAGGCACAATGACCTTGGAACCTAATTCCAGGCTTACAGCAAAAGCATCTAAAAAATGCCAGCCTCACTCCACCTTCGACAGAACAGGACACAATGGTGGACCAGACCGATCATGTAAATTTTACAAAAGTGGATCAAAGTCGGGTTCCCATTCTAAGCAACACAATGCACCCAGCCGGAGTCAAGCACAGCTTTAAAAGGTATCCCCGCCGTTTCAGAGATTTCTAACTTTCTAACCATGGACTTGGGATGAACTCAGCAACAAGACTCAACCACCTCAGCTGACACGCTCCAAGCATGTTGCAAAAACGTCTCTCAGAGTCCATTGCAATTAAGAGACAGCCATTGCAGGATTTGGGTTTGGCTAGGACTGACTAAGGACTGACTAAGGGGAGAGCGGGCGGAGAGGAGTGGGGCCAGCCAGGGGTACAATTTGCCAGTTGTCCGAACTGCACAGAATCATAACAACCGGTTCTATAGAACCGGTCTGAACCGGTAGAATCCTATCCCTGGTTTAAGGGTTGCTTTGAAATGGTTTTAAAGAGTCGTTCAGGTCACGTTGTTAAGTTTCTGCAGACTCCCTCCCTCCTCTGTTTTGGCTAGTTTCGTCTTACCTAACTCATTTTCAGCTTCTCTGGAGGCTTAGATTTTGCAGCTTATGGTTTCAAACTTCATCAACTGCTAAAATTAATAGGCATGAGGTAAGTGTTGAAAATGTAAAGCAACCCCCCCCCCCCCAAACCCTTAAAATATCACAACTAATGTCTAAGCTATAAAAAGGTTTAGCTACATACTGGTATAAATAATTATAAAATGGAATAAACAGTATCATGGCCCCTAGTGTTAGAAAAACCTATAAAGGAGATTTGTGGGTTGCCCTTCAGAAATTTTAAGGTAAAATTATAATTCATTTCTCCTCATTGCCTGGATTGCTGCTCTCTTGAAGTGACATCTCTCACTCTTTTCCATCCTTTCCTGTTTTGCTAAAAGTACGGATAGATACTGTTTTTACCATCCACCCTAAAATAGGTGAACGGGGAGAAGAGTTTTATAACATGTGTTTTTCAAACCCAGGAATTAAACATAAGCAAGTGAGCTTATATTTATGTATGTTATATTTACCCTCCAATTAACTTGAGCCAAAGATGCTCCCTGGCTGTTTTCTTTTCAAAACAGCCACAGGTTTCCTAAAAACCCAGCATACAATGAATCATAGAATCACAGACATGGAAGTTACCATTATAATCTAATGTTTTTCGAACTTTGTAACATTAAAATGGATGGATTTCAACTCCCAGAATTCCCCTTTCAAAAACATTGATCTAGTCCAATCAATTCATGGAACAGCAAATATTTAAGATGGTTAGAATCACAGCTTTTAGTCCTTTCTCTAAGAGATAAGCATAGCTACTGATCAACTTTGGTCAACTTTTTTTTACAAAAAAGATGTTGTGACTTTGGAAAAAAATCAGAAAAGGGCAACTAAGATGATCACAGGCCTGGAAACTAAAACATATGAAGGACGGCTGCGGGATTTAGGTCTGGCTAGTCTCAAGAAAAGAAGAATTAGTGGTGACATGATAGCAATCTTCTAATACTTGAGGGGCTGCCACAAAGAAGAGGGAATCAAATTATTCTCCAAAGCACCAGAAGGCAGGACAAGAAACAATGGTCAGAAGCTGATCAAAGAGAGAAGCAAGCTGGAAGGAAGGAGAAACTTCCTAATGGTGAGGAGAATTAACCAGTAGAAGAGCTTTACCTTCAGAAATCGCGGGTGCTCCGTCACTGGATGTGCTTAAAAAGAGTTTAGAGTCACTTATCTGAAATAGTATAGGTTCTCCCGCTTGAGTAGAGGGCTGGACTAGAAGATCTCCAAGGTTCCTTCCAGCTTATTCTGTTCTGTCTGTCCTATCCTAATTCTAATCTAACCTACTCCTATTCTATTCCGTTTTCTATTCTATTCCAGTTCCAATTCCATTCCATTCCTATTCCTATCCTATTCTAAATAGTTGTAGCTCAGGGTTGAAATCCTTGGTGCTCTCTGAGCTTGGTTGTTTCTCTGCAGATGTTTCATTACCCAAATAGGTAATGTGCACTAATGAAACATAATGAAACATCTTCAAGGAAACATCCAAGTTCAGAGACACCAAAGATCCCTCATAGCTATTTATGCTTTCTACTCGGTATATGAACTTCCTTCCTTCCTCGCTCTTTTCTTCTTTTGCTGGACCTGGTGGGACTAAATCTTTATTTTACAGAGCAGGACATCAGGACAATTATTTAACCCAAGGAGAATCGTTGTGTCCGCTGGGTTTAATTAACAAAGAAAATTGTTGTCATTCTCAATGTCTCAGATGCACAGCAGGCCAAGTCAGCTCCAAAATATAAAATAAACCCTGGCCATTTTACTTCCTACAAGCTTTTATTATGTTATTTTTCTCCTGCAAAGCAAGGCTCCCAATCTTAATGGCAGTTTAGTGCTAACAGGACATAAAAAATGGCTCAGAATCCAAACAGATCCAAGCAGTGCAGATCTGGAATTCATCAGGCAGCTTGCAGCTGGTTGTCCCCTCCATCCTGTACCTATAAATGGCCTTGGCTTGGAGACTGGCCAACAACCAGGTTATCATTAACGTAACTGCATTAGGAATTATACCTCTATACTTTCTGCATGCTAAAAATCAAAAGGCTCAGAAGAGGTGAATTTGGTGATTAGGGCAAATTCACATTTTTGACTGCAGAATTTATTCTCTTTCCCTTGCATATGAAAATAGTCTGTCCACACAGTTTTATTTACTGCTGTTTGTGCCAATTTGTATTTATTATATGTTCACTTATTCAGCTTCTGCTCGTTTTTGAGGCTTTCTAATCCTGTGCTCAGATGGAAACGCCTTTCACTCAAGGACAAAGATAGAACTCATCTGTTGAGATCCACACACCGCTTCTTAAAAGCTCACATCGCCTTAGCACTGTGTTAAGTTCCCCCATACAAGTTTTAATTAGTGCAAACAGGCTTTTGCCTACACCCAAGAAAAATACTGCAATAACTGCATTTCTAAATAAAGATTAAAATAAAAATAAAAAATCTCTTCGCTGAAAATGACTTTTGAAATGCAAGGGATCCAGTTTGAAAATAATTCCTGCTTTTTTTAGGTGGTCCGAAACCTGGAAAGAAAAACTTTTGAACTTTCTGTTGCATAAAATGTCCTTCTGTTCTTCTATTGCTGTTCCCATGGAAGGAAAAGGGACTGAGACCCTGGATTTTTGCATGTGTGTGTGTGTATAGATATATTCCAGTTCTATTCTGTTCTAAAATTCTATTCTAAATAAGGCGTAGTGTGTCTTTTGGAGCAAAAATTAATATAAGGCCTGGACCCGGTGTCATGCCCCTGTCGGATTGAGGAGGAAAACAAACAGCTGACAGGGAGTGGGAGTGTGGCTCCATTGGCTGTGGAGGAACTGGGGAAGGGCAAAGTCCGGCTGGGCAGAGCAGGGGAGAGGTAGAGCAAGGGAGAGGGAGTTCAGAGGAAGACCCAGGCCCACCCCCCTCTTCATCCTAGGGCATGCAGGGTAGAACAGAGGAGAGAGCAATGTGGGTTGCCTGGCTTACAGGGGAGGAAAGGGCCCTGATTCCCTTCATTAGCCACACCTGGGAAGAGAGTTTAAAAGAGACGCATGCTAAAGCGTGGCGTCTTCTGGGAACAAACGTGAGTTTATCTTGTGTGTACTTTAGTTATCTGCGTTTCTGGCATCCTCCCAAATAGGTTGAATTACTGCAGTTCTTCCACATCTGGAATTCCTTCTCCTGCCCTGCTGGACTAATTACCTCATTTTGCCTTGTTTGGACTTATAGTTACAGGTTTTGTTGACCATGTTTTGGACTTGATTCTCTGCAGCCAACGGCTATTCCTGGGAGAGTTTTTCTCCAGTCCAGAAGGTAACCAGGACATTGGGGGCACAGTTGGAGTTATCCTACTTACTATCTGACTGTGTTGTCTTTGTGCCATACCTCGTGTCATCACACCCGGTCTTATTTTCAGGGAAACGCAGGTTTGTAGGCAGAAGAACCACTGAAAATAAAGCACTGATTGTCACCAGGAAAACATTTGGTCAATTTCCTTCTTACCAGCTGGGATAACTGGACTTGGACATCACTGGCTTCCAGAGGAGATTCACTATAATTCTCCAACAATGATGGGTTTTGCCGATATTTATGGGAGCTAGCAGAGAAAGGCAAGGAATCTTTCCCAGTTATTTCAAGGTCGCCCAAGTGAAGGTTCTCTCCATTCTGGTCCTGAAAAAAATTAAAAAAGGAATTTATGGACAATTTCCCCAAAGCAAAGCTTTCTCCAGTAAGGCCCCACCCGCAGTAACCTCACTCCTCCTTTACATGTTTGTGTTGTGACACCACTGTGGGGTTTGTGTCGGGACTTCTTCTTCGCTTACCAGCAAAAAACCCAAGCAGACACTGCAGTAACTTGGCCGTTTCCAAGGAAACATGAACAATATAAAATGCAATGTGTAGGTAAAATAAAATCAAACACTTGGATAACCATAAAATGCAAGTACTGTAAATACAGGATGATGTTGATGGAAAAAAAGAGACTGTGCTTTAAATTACGGCAAGGCTGCCCATTTCTATCCATCCTCACCATAAAATAATTCCACTGACTTCTTTGCAACTCTGTTCAGCCATATACTCAGGTTTTTAAGGCAAAGAGGAAGGCCATAGCATCCTGATAAGGCCCCGGCTTTGTACGAGGTGTAGGATAGCTAGAATTTGGATTCCTGCATGGAGCCAGGAGTGGTCTGGACGCCCTCACGGGCTTCTTCCAACTCCTGGATTCTGCAAGGAGAACATCAGTGATGCTGGAAGGAGGCGCCCACCTACAAAAATAGAAATATTCCCCAACAGCAGATAAGAAGAAGAAGATGGAGAAGGAGGAGGAGGAGAAGGAGGAGGAGGAGGAAGAGAAGGAGAAGGAGGAGAAGATGAAGAGGAGGAGGGGGAGGAGAAGGAGAAGAAGATGAAGAAGAAGGAGGAAAAGGAGGAGGAGGAGGAGGAGAAGGAGAAGGAGAAGAACTTTATTGTCATTGTACAAGTACAACGAAACTGTGGATGCACCCCAGCAACTGTTCGCAATACAATAAAACCAAAGCACTTAAAAATGAAGATAAGAAAAATAGAGTACCCACGTCTCCATTTGCAATTTGAGAGTACAATATCTACGAATATAGACAAAACATACATCCAACACTGACTGTAACGCTTAGCCGAGTATAATACACAAGAGATGGATTGTGCTGTAATATGTTATTATACATCTGAATGGGGTATTGAGATTTCACATCTTTCCACATCTTAATAAGGTAGTGACATTGTCTTCAAAAGAAACAGAATATCTGAGCAAGTAGTTTTTCCTGACGTTCCTTGGGAAAACCACTTGGTATCTAAGTTTAAGATGGCATCAAACCTGGTTTTGACTTCTTTCTCCAAGAACAACATAACACAAGAAAAAAAAAAGGGGGTACCCATTGTACTGTAGTTAAAATTAAATGTGTTGGAGCAGGGTTGAATGCAACCAGATCTTAACCTTCCACCAAAGGCTATCTTACAAAGCAAGCAACAACAAACCATCGTCTGTGGCCACTCACTCCTTCTCTTCCTGGGATTCTAGCCATAAATGCTGAAGGGCCCATGTCACCCTTTCAGCTTGCTCTGAATTATGCCTCAGCTTTTAGGGCAGCCTTCTCCAAATTGTTGGCTGCTCCCCAAATGTTTAAACTTCGCTCCAAGATTCCCACCCACCGCCAAATGTGCTGTGGGGGATTCTGGGAACGGAAGTCCATCTACCTGGAGCATATATCTTTTGGTTCTCAGAATCTTCAGTGATTGTCAGACTGGGGAATTCTGGGAATTGAAGTGTATCTGGAGGACTTTTTTTTTTTTTTCAATTCCCAGAATTCTCAGCAAGGTTCAGACTTGGAGAATTCTGGGGATTGAAGTCTTTCTATCCGGAAGACAATCTTTTAACTCCCAAAATGCTCAGCAAAGACCAGGCTGGAGAATTCTGGGCGCTAAAGTCCACCCATATCCAGAAGGCACTCAGGATTGGGAGGGTTGTATTAGAACAGAGGTCTCCAAACTGGGCAACTTTAAGACTTGTGGACTTCAATGCCCAGAATTCTCCAGCCAGCTGGCTGGAGAATTCTGGGAATTGAAGTCCACAAGTCTTAAAGTTGCCCAGTTTGGGGACCCTTGTATTAGAACCACAAAGAACGGTGGTCTTTTTCACAACTGACTTTGATTGCCATTTACCTTTTCAGGTGGGAACCTCAGGAGCTCAAAGCTGTTCATGTTGTTTGTTTGGGCCCACTTCGGCCTGGCTCCTGGAAGAGAAAGGGACAGCCGTCGGTGAGACTTTCAAGGCAAACGAAACTGCCAAGCAGGAATGCAGCTAGTCTTCGAACTTGCAACCACAATTAAGCCCAACATTTCTGTTGCTAAGTGAGACATTTGTTAAGTGAAGTTTGCCCCATCTTACGACCTTTTTTGCCACAGATGTTAAGACAATCCCTTCAGTTGTGAAGTGAGTAGCATGATTGTTAAATGAATTTGGCTTCCCCCAAAAGCACTAAGCAGACTCTTTGTCCTGGCAAAACCCCTTTTATTAAAGGAAGGTGAATTTCTTGCATTCATTCAGCCAAAGGCCTGGCAAACAGTCTTTCAAGGATGGAATTATAAGCACAGACCTTATCTAGCCTGGAGAGCTAGCAAGTAACTATTTCCAAACGCAGTGCTGACAAGGAAGGACTCAGCACAGAGATGCACAGACAGATCTTCACACCACTGCAATGAACGAATTGTTTCCTGCAAAAGCCCCCTCCCCTCTTGCTCCTCTTTTAATACCTATGGAAGGGCCCATTCACTGCCCACCTATGCCTTTACTCCCACGTTGACCCTGAGTTCGTAATTGTTCTTTTCTTTGGGCAGCTCTGGGCATGCGCAGGCTGGGAACCGGCTCCAGCTGCTCCCCCGCCTCGCTGCTGTCTGACTCTGAAGGCAGCTGATGACTGCCAGCCTGCCCTGGCCCCATCTCTGCCTCCGACGCAGAGCCCTCGTCCGAGCCCTCCTCAGTCTCCAGGACTGGCCCCAACCTCCTCACAGTTGCCAGCTCCACTAGCCGCCAGAGAGTCACAACATCCTCATTGAAGGTTACACAAAGTGATCACGTGACCTTGGGACACAGCAACAGTCACAAGTATGAGTTGTTGCCAAGTGTCTACATTTTGATCACGTGACTATGGGGAAGCTGCAATGTTGGTAAGTGTGAAAAATGGACACAAGTCACCTTTTTCAGTGCTGTTGTATCTTCAACTGGTCACTAAATGAACTATTATAAGTCAAGGACTACCCGTGCAAGGTACTACCTTCATTTTCACATATTACATGCACAACACCAAAACAAAGCTTTCCAAGATGGGTCCTGGCCCACTAAATTTCATTTAAATCATGAAGCTAAACGGCAGCTACCACAGGTAATTTGTCAGCATTGGATAATAGCAGAGAGAAAATAAACTTCTAAATAAACTAGTAGTGTCTTAGTGTGTTTACTTTAGCGTAACAAATTTCACAATGAGCAAGGCAGTGGTTAAGTGAGTTTTGCCTCATTTTAGGATCAGTTCTGCTGCAGTTGTTAAGCAAATCTGGCTGTCAAGGTTATTTATTAAGAGCTTCATGTCGGCACCTTCCAAGCGAAGCCAACTCTGACCCCACGTAATTTACAGTCCAGTTCTGACCCTGTTTCCCCCCTGCCCCCAAGGTGTATCATCAATCACATTCTCCAACAAAGCAATTTCCGGGTTGTAGAGATCACTCCCCTCCACCACTGTGTGTAACCCCGAGGCAGCCTTGACAGAGATATGGCTGGAATGTGCTTTTGTTTTGAGTGACAGGCTGCCTTGCTGCAGCTGCAAGTTCGTTTTCCCACCCCCCACCCCTTTCCTATGGCAACTCATCAGCAGGGCAGGGATGCTTTGCGAGTTGACACTGACTTTCTCCATTGATTTTCTCGGAAGCCGGAAGGTTACATTAGGTGATCACATGACCCCAAGACACTGCAATGGTCACAACTATGAGCCAGTTGCCAAGGGGATACCACAATGGTTGTGTGAAAAATAGTCATAATTCATTTTTTTTCAACGCCGTTGCAACTTTGAACAGTGTGCAGGAAGGCCTCCACTCCCCGCATTAAAATATTCTTCATTCTTAACATTAAAAAGAGGCAGGATAGAATATTTCCCGCAAAGGAGAAAAGGAGGAAAAATCTTAACAAAAGCAGAAAGCAACCCTGGTTTTCCTGCCATAGGAAAACAGCCTGAAGAAGAAGCTTGAAGAGGCTGGTCTTTAGAAATGGAGATTCTGTATCCATTCAGAAAGACTGGGCCAATTTAGTCATAAGCAAATAGACTCCAAATAAGCAGCACAATTAGGCTAGCCAAAGCTGACAAGATTAGCTCAGACAAACACCTAGGATTTCCATTTCCCTTTTGTCTGTAGAGCCACCCATGGCCTCTACATGACCCCATAGGAATCTGGCAACATCCATTAAAATTTTAAAGGATACACTCTTGCACAGGAGCAGGCATCTCAATCACAAAGACCCAAAGAAGGTATAAAAACCCACCTCCTCTCAACCCCATTTTGTCAGCAACCCCAGAAACATGCTGCTGTCGCTGTCTCAAATAATAAGAGACCTTTGTTCCTGGAGCCACCCTCCATTTTATTTCCAGGGTCTTTCTCCCAGTTTGAAACTGGACCAGATTTCTCTTCCAACAATTCACTAAATTCATGATTGTAAATTAAGGGCCGCCTGTATTCTATGTTCTGTCTCTAAATCTGAAGTTTACTTCCAAAATACAGGAAGTAATTTGCTGTATATGATTCTGCAGTGGTCCCACCATGCTTAAATCTGGCAGTATGCCCACGTTAGGAGAAGGAGACCGAAAGAATGAGAAGGGTCGGGAAAATGGAAATTTAAATCCTATGAAAAGTGATTAAACGTGGAGAAAACTGAGGGTGGGGTCTAATTAACACCAAAAAGGACATCGCAAAGAAGAAGACCGAGCCCCTGGGTCCCTCATTCCAGAATGACTGCAAATAGAAATATTGTACCTGTTTTTTTAAAATTAATCATGGAAATAAACAAAAAAAATAAATCTTAGGATATTTTTTTTACAAGGCAGATGACTGCAGTGCCCTGTAAACAGGAAGAAAAGTCCATTTGGCCTGGCGATAAATAGAAACAGGCCAAATCGTAAATGCTGCCTCTTGCTGGAAATTTTGGGGGAAATATTTATAGAACGTGATTGCTAGGAATTAAATTTTTACAATATCCAGAGACAACTATTCCTCTCTTACGATGGGACTATACAGAACTGCAACGTTAGGGGGTAAAACCTTAATCCATTTCTATGCTTCTCATAGATCACCACTGCAAAAGTGTTGTTGCCTCACACTCGACAACAGTTTTGTGAATGCAATGGGGCCATTATCACCACTACTCCACTACCATTTCCCACTGATTCTCCCTTTTACAAATAGTCCTCAATTTACGCCCACAATTGAGCCCAAAATGTCTGTTGCAAGACAGTTGTTAAGTGAGTTTTGTTCCATTTTACGACCTTCCTCACCACGGTTGGTAAGTGAATCGCTGCAGCTGATAAGTCATTAACAACGGTTGTTTAAGTGAATCCGGCTTCCCCATGGACTTTGCATGTCAAGAAGGACGTAAAAGGGGATCACGGGACCCTACGACACTGCAACTGTCATAAATGTGAGTCATCTGTCAAACAATTGAATGTAAATCATGGGGGATGCTACAATGATCCTAAGCATGAAAAATGGTCATAAGAGTCACCTTTTTCAGTGCCCTTGTAACTTCGAACTAAATGAACTGTTGCAAGTTGTAACTATTGTAAGTTGTAACTATGTATGTATGTATGTATGTATGTATGAATAGATAGATAGATAGATAGACAGACAGACAGACAGACAGACAGACAAATGGACATGTCTCTTGATAAGTGTCAATGAAGCATCTCAGGTCATCCAGACTTTGAAAAATGGTCACGTCACTTTTTCCAGTGACCTTGTAACTTTGAACGGTCACAAAACAAACAGTTGCAAGTCAAGAACTACAGAAAGAAAGAAAGAAAGAAAGAAAGAAAGAAAGAAAGAAAGAAAGAAAGAAAGAAAGAAAGAAAGAAAGAAAGAAAGAAAAAAGAAAAAGAAAAAAAGGAGAAAGAAAGAAAGAAAGAAAGAAAGAAAGAAAGAAAGAAAGAAAGAAAGAAAGAAAAGGAGAAAAATAGAAAGAAGGAAAGAAATTAAATAGCCTTATCAATATCTCTTGATAAGTGTCTATGAAGAGCCTCGGTCATCCAGACTTTGAGATCATAGTTGTCTCAAGGTTTTTTTTTCTTTAAAAGCAACTGGACTGATTTTTTTTTTTTGAGGAAGAAGAAAAAGATGTTTCACTTCCTACCCAGGAAGCTTCATCAGTTCTACTGATGGTGGGGGAAGATGGTTGGAAGGACAGGTACTGACAGTTGAGGCTATATGGTGGGGGTTGAATGTATAGCTTCTGACAGGAGGGAGAATGGATGAAATCATGTTTCTGGTTCAGCTGAAAATCCCAAGTAGCCTCAAGAGCTCTCAGAGAGAGTGCTAATGACCAGATGACTGCAAAGAAACACAATCCTTCCATTTACACACACACAGCAATCATCCTGTCAGAACTTATCCTTCCATATCTCCCGCCACCAGTTCAACTGATGAAGCTTCCTGGATAGGAAGTGAAATTTTTCTTCTTCCTCAAAAAGAATCAATCCAGCTGCCCTTTCGGGAAAAAAAAACAACCACCTTTGAGACAACTCTCGATAAGGTCCAGGAAACGAAACCTTCGTCTGTAATAAAGCGTGACTCGTAGTTTCTGCCGCTGAATTGTGAGAATTTTGCTATCTTTATTGACAGCTGCTTTGTGATTCCCTTCTGGAAAAAAAAAAGCCACCTCAGTATAAAATTTCTGTGCTGGGACTAGCAGGCCAAAGGGATTTATTTTGTAATAAAGCAGGTTAGTTTGCAAGCTGCCAGCGTACCGACGGATTGTTCAAGGGGTGAAGGTGGCTGGCTGGTTGGCTGGCACCGCACGCCATGCAAACTGCCGCTGGTGCCAAGAAACTGCCCGCTTCCTTCCCAGATGAATGGCAGCTTCATTCATCAGTGCCAAGCAGGGGAAACTCCACGAACAAATCTGCTTTTTTTTTTAATTGGCAGAGCTGGTAACGGGCACCTTGTTTCTGAGGGAACAAGGAAAGGAGGTTTTGAGGAA